TAGGACCAGCAGGTCTGAGCTTCCATTCAAGGTTCTCAATCACAAGACATCCAGAATTTGTTAGTCATTCCAGTGACCAAGTTATATTTGTGTCATCTGCGTTGTATTTTGATCATTCTCTCCTGCTGGGAAATCCCACTGCTCCTGTGCTCCTTGTCCCATTTGTCTGTGGCTCAGGGATCGGCTCCTCGCTGATAATTCTCCTTCCCTGTGTGGCTCTGCTGTCTTCTTCCATAGCTTCCCAGTCTTCCAGGTTCTCAGATCGCCGCCTCTCCCCCATCTACAGCTTCCCTGAGGTATGTTTCTACAATAAATGCTCACACTCTGGGAGAAACGACTGGCTAGCTTTTCCCCATCATCTTCTATTATTTACACACCTTCTTCTGGTGCTCAAACTACTGAGAGATCCTGAACTCATAGGCTGCTTCTTGTAGGCCATCGTGATGGTGAGGTGCCCGCTATGGGTCCAGGTTGGCAGCCAGCTGTGAAGAATATGGCAACAAGAGGGAGGATTTCTAAGCTACCTCCCTGGAGCAAACACTTCCTGAGACCCACTTATACATCTGAACACCCACCTGATGGTACAGAAGAACACAACCCTCACCTCAAGCTCATGATGTCACGTAACTCGAAACAATACCCTCTGGATGCAGTTGCCCCATTGCCACATAAGATCCATAACAAATAAAGAGGAGAAATTTAAACAATTTGATTCCCTGCTATAAAATTTATCCCTTTGTTGTCCTACATATAGTACATATTTTGTACTAAAAATTTTCAGAAACATATTTCCACTAATTTGTCTTGTTTTGGTTCCAGGGATTGAACTCAGGAACTTGTGCTTGCAAGGCAGGCAGAGGAACTAACCACTGAGCTAAATCCCTGGCCCTATACTAATTTGTTTTTATTGATAAATAATAAGTGCTACATTTTAATCTACGTGTACATTGTAGAAAGATCTGCTCAAATTATCACTTTCCCAGCAATCATCTATCTAGATTAGATTAATTCACAATGTATGCATGAGTTTAAATATGACCCTGAACCCCATGTATGTATAACAATACAGGTGAAGAATAACATACATATTAAAATTTTAAACTAGCAATAGTAAGAAAAAAGTAATTATACCTTTAAAAACAATTCAAAAAGATGATATATATGATGTTAGACATCTTAAAAATAAAGACACCTAAAATGTGAAATGCTCAAGAGACAAAACCATAAAATGCTGTTGAGGAGCATAAAATATTTATTAGTGGAAAAGTATATGTATAATCACAAAAATCACAAATTCATAAGTTTTTCAATAGTAAAATTCAACATAATGATTTGTTTCTCCATAAACTTCAATACTCTTTAAATTAACCTAAAAATATATGCATCTTCAACTAAAATCGAATGGAATTTTTATCTATAATTTAATACAATTATTCTAAAGTGCACCTATCAGAAAAGTCTAAAACAGGTATAAACATACTAATAGAGAATCTTAATGAGGTTAGTTTTCCTTCAGATATTGCTATTTTAAGTGGCTATTCTTGAAGCAGTTTGATATTGGCTAAGGAATAAGTATATAAATTTCCAAAGTGTTGGTATAATTACATATAAGATTTTACCCTAAAATGTGGAAGTAAGACATACCGTGCAAATGGTGATGTTAGAACAACTGATACATCCTTTGGGAAAAAAATTAAATTTGATGCCCCATCTTTTATCCCATTGCAATAAATTCCAAGTTAAAGAATTACAAATGAAAATTAAAATCACTCAAGAACATGAAGTAGAATTAGTGATCAAAATGTGGAGGTGGAAAAACTTTAGGAGCCTGGTGTAAATGTTGGAATTTGACTACAGAAAAACTAAACCTAGGAACAACAACCAAGAAAACATGCATGAAGTCATTGCCCAGATGATAAGATGGGAAAATACTGAAATATACATGAAAAGGCTTAATAACCTAGTATTTGAAAAATCTTTTAAATCTCTAAGAAACAGACATGCAACCCAGAAGAAAATAAGCAAGAGCTTTAAACAGGCAATTCACAAGAGAATAAATAAAACGATCAACATACATTTTGTTAAGCTTCATGAATAATCAGACTCTGTACTCATAAAACATAGGAAATAGCACTTTAACTATAATTAAAATGTGGTCTTTAGAGATTTAGTGAGGGTTAGACAGCAAGATTAGGTGTCAGCATCCGAGTCTGTCTCATTCTGTTGCAGGAATAAAGATCACTACCAGCATTCCGGCTGCAAACTGATAGCAAATTGCGTCTACCCCTCTGTCACTGAAGATGCCTACCAAGTCGATCCTGGGCACAGATACCCACGCTGCCAGCACCGAGGTCTTAAAGACAGTCAGCACACACTGGCTTGGGTGCGTCTTTCCCCAAGCTCAGTGAAGCCACATTGGTAGCTTGAAATCAGACGGGGTAGGAGGATTTTTCACACCAGAAATCAGGAAATACTACCAACCAGAGCAAACCAGAGCTCTTTCTTTCTTTCTTTCTTTCTTTTGGTACCAGGGATCGAACTCGGGTCCTTGTGCTTGCAAGGCAGGGGGCGGAACCACTGAGCTAAATCCCTGGCCCTAAGAGCTCTTTCTTAAGGAGAACCACTCGTCACACACTAACCAGCTCACCTGGGGTAGAGGCTGAGGGAGAGAGTGTTTCCTCCCTGCAGCCCCACCTCCAACCACAGGCCAGGTGGAGAGAACGTGGAAGGGGAGACCAGGCATGCACAGGGGACCCTTCCCTGCCCCCCGTCCCGCTGAAATGCTGCAGCGAGCGCGCTTCCTCTGCCCCGGGCCACCTCAGTCTCTGTGGTATAGAGATGGGTCTGCTGTGAGGTGCATCCAATAGTTTAGTTCTGGGGTTTAGCAAGGTCAGTAATAACATGAATCCTCATCTGTCTCAGTAATTACGACAATGTTATCCCAAACTCAAATCCCTTACCTTTGAATTAGCCCAGCTTTCGTACTGGAAAGAGAGGCGTTGAATTTCTCAAGCACATCAAAATGATGTATCTCGAAACTAGGTTAAAGCAAAAGAAAAGGTAAACAACCTAGGTATATCTCAAAGCTGTGATAGAATTTTCTTTCTACCCACACACAAGTTGCAGCCATTCAATGTTTCGAAATAAGTATTTGCTATAGGACAAAGAAGGCAGGCCCCGGGTAGGGGGAAAGGAGAGGTCAGTCATTCATGGAAGCAGAAAGGAGCTAACCAGGAGCTAGTGGGTTCCAAAAGGGCAGATCCGGGAGCAAAACTGCACTGAAACCCATGGCCGGAACAAGCAGCGTGGCCGAATTCAGCGTTGTGCAGCCTCCGGGAGCATCTGGGCAGGCAGCCAGGAAACTTAGGAGGCTGAGTGGGGCGGGGACACACCTGGAGCTCCCCCGAACCCCCTGTCCACAGTTCCTTTCTCACAAACCAGGGGAAAGGATTTGGACAGAGGTCGGGGCCACAGCTGACGGCGCTGGGTTATGAGGCACAGCGGGACCACGAGCCGAGTGTGACCTGGACACGGGACACGGTGACAGCCCAGTCACCTCCCAGCTGCCCAACCTGGGAGCTTCCACATCAGCTTTAATCCACGCCTTCCTTTCTCTCCCGCGCCCGGTCATCATCACCTCCCACCCGTCTTCCCTGCGCACCCTCTCTCGCTGTGCTGTCAGCCCCAGCTCACAGTCCGCGGTCGCAGTCCCCAGGCCCATCCCCATCCGCCCTGCACACCGTGCCCAGGACGCGTTTCCCGGCCCCTGCCTCCCTCAGGTCACTCTGCTGCTTGGGAATACCCGGGGCAACCCCGAAGTACTTTAACCCATTATTATTTTCATAGCCTGAGCCACTTGGACAGTTCACCAACTAAGCTTCCACTCGCTCCTGTTCGAGTTGGAGACCCCCAGCCCTCCAGCTGGTCCCCACCTTGGAGCCCCCCCACGGAAACACCCTCGCCTCCTCCCTTCCAACCCCACCTGTCCTCCAAGCCCAGCTCTGCTCCTGTTTGTGCCACGAGGCTGCCGTAATTACCCACCTCACATGTGATTTCTCTGGAAACAGTGGAAAACACTGCTGTGGCTATTTCCCTTAAATACAAAGCCTGCCGCGATACTTCTCTACTTAAATCTTAACTCCCCCCACCCTCCAGCATGAATCTCCATATGCTTAGCACACAGTTCTCGCCCATTCTTGGACCCACTGTGGCTCATCTTTGTACCCTTACTGTCTCACCCATGTAACTGTTTTCTAACCTCTTTCCTCTCTGTGTAGCATTCCTTCTTGCTAGATTGCACGAAGAATCTCACTGCTGCAGGGATAAAGCCCTCTCACTCTTGGTGTTCCTATGGTAGAATCTCACACTTCTTTCACAGTAATTAGTAGATTGTTCTATAGCTGCAGCTTCTCTATCTGTAGCTTCTGGACTGCAGCCGTGGCTCAGTGGTAAAGTGTTTGCCTGGTATGTGTAAGGCCCTGGGGTTGATCCTCACCACCACACAAAAAATTTCTATGTCTGTATCTTCTACTGAAAAATATATTACCCAGTATTCAAATTATGTTTAGTACACTTTTTACATTTTTAGTATGTTAAATTCCAGGGTGGTAGTAATAGCTAGCATTTCCAAAGTACTTATGCCACATATTTTATAGGTGCTGTGTATATTTTAATATATTCAGTTTTCACAATAAACCTAAGAAATGGATATAAATATTATCACTTTTTTTTACTTATGAGAAAAAAAGAAACAGAGAAGTGAATTAACTTGCCTAAGGTTACACAGCAGCAGAGTTAGGGTTTGGCAAGAGACAGCTAAACCAACCCTCCTGTACTCTTTAACTACCTGTCCCTTTAGTAGGTCCAAGGGGCACAGAATGTATAGGAGTAGAGGATTTAAAACGACCTATCCTTAGAATTAGAAGATGTATTTACTTGACTGACCTCAATCTGTTTTTGATCTCTTAGAGATGATGGTAACTAGAAACAACCTGATCCATTCTGGGGAAACAGCAGAATCATCATGTACAAGGTTCATCCCCAATAAGAGGAATTCCTCTTTGAAAACTGCTTTCCTTTTCTGACTCCTCTGTCTCCTTTGTATTAATTCCTCTCTCTGCTATCCCACTCACTTGTTGCCACAGTGGTAAGAAATATCTGCAACACATACACACACACACACACACACACACACACACACACACACACAGAGTGGTCACATCTGGAGTCCACAGCGAATAAGGTGTTGGGATTCGCCAACAACCCAGACACGGCCAGAGCAAAATATAAAAGAGAGCTTCGCCTGCCAGTTATGACTTCAGACAGAAATCACAGAAGCTCTATTCCAGTAACAGGCTCCGAACTGGTAATTCCCAAGTTGTACCTTGCAGAATCTCACAATTAGAAAGGGTTTTTAAATTTTACTCTATGTATATTTTATCACAACAAAACTTAACAATTTAAATCATTGCCCCTCTCCAAATTATCAAAAGCAACTGCCTTGTTTGAGAAATGAACTCTTCTGGCTTCAAGAAAAATTGCTGCTCAGCACCTGCGGCTGCTTGAGACCTTGCGGCTGCTTGAGACCTTGCGTCTCACCCCTGGCCATGTCACCTACCTTGGGTCAGGAGAGCTGGTATGAGCTCGCTGGATGTTGGAACAAGGAATTGGGCAGATAAATTTCAAACGCACTCAAAGTGCCTCCAGTGTAGTATGAGGTCAGCACTCTGCAGAAATCGACCAGTGCCCAAGGAGATGTTCTGGTTTGCAAAACCTGGGATGAGAAGGAGCATTGGATTCCTCCCTGCAGATCTTGGTCTTTCAGCAAGAAAGGGCCCTGGCTAACATCACCCCCAGCTAGATTCTCACTGCAGCGCCCAAGGCAGGCAGTCCGGGCCACACTCCACCGAGGCGCTCTGGCAATGGTGCTGAAAAGGACTAAGATATTATTGTCACTCTGCCTTCTGACAGATGAGGTGACACAGGGTGAAAGGAGTTAATATGCTTCCTGAAACCACACTCTAATTATTTCCCAGGAGCTCTAGTGGCTCAGAAATCAGTGCTCTCCCAACATGAGGCCGTCTCCTGAGGGCGACAGTTCTGGATCCATTTGAAGGTTGCCTTTTCCTCAGGCCCAAACCTCCAGTGGTCCTGAGAGATGATTGAAAACAAAGTAGGTAATCTGTAAGATAACAGCAACAAAAAAGGAAATTTCAGGGAAACTGCATCAGTGTTGAAACTTGGATTTATAACACTTAAGAAGAGCTTTAGCAACAAAATCAGAAAATCTGAAGATCGTGTTTTGACGTAGAAATCCTACCAAGCCACTCAGACTCTGAAAATGATGATGAAATGCTGAAGTCCTCGAACTATTTAAAATAAATTAAGCCAGACACTATACTCCAGGGATCAGCCTCCCCACTGGATTTCTTTTCTCTAGTGCGAACCTCATCAAATGACGTATGATGCAAGCAAAGGCTCAAATGGTTTCACCTAATTTAGTGAGAATCTGCAAAGTTTTAGCACCAAGGAATGAGGTGGTAGAAGGAGAAAGTTTGAAGTAAGACAAAAACAGGGATTATTTGTCCAGATTTGGAGACTGGGAATGAATACGAGAATAAACACAGAAGGAAACAAGAGGGCAGGACAGGAAGTTGGGGTGCTTGGGACCAGTTCTGCCTCAGCAGGTGATCATCCAACAAGACCATGTCATTTCCTCCACTCCCTCTTGTCTATTTCCACCTCTACAGCAAATGACAGCATTCATCTAGATTATCTTCACCTGCCTTCCAATTTCCACACTCACATATTCATGTGCAATATTCATATATAAAATCCCTTAGCCTCCCTGTGCCTCTGTCTCTCCCTGAATGATGATAACACTCATAATCACAGAATATTTTGAGAATTTCCTCTGAAGAGATATTGTTCCAATGACTCATTCATTCACCAAATGGTACTGAGTCCTAGGAAGTGTGAAGCACAGTTTTAGGTGCTAGAAATTTGTGAATGAAAAGATAAAGTAGCTATAGACTCAGGGAGGCTACACCCTTCCTATCTCCTCCAGGGCATAATGAAGGTGGAAAAAACATGGAAATAAAATTTGATACGAAGCTCAGGTGGTAATAAATCCCATGGAGAAAAATAAGCAGATTAGTAATGGTAGAAAATAAGGAAGCTCATGGAATGCTGGGACCTCTGGTTGCTCTAAAGAGAACAATGGAGGATAGTGGGACATACAGGAGACCAATCAGAAGACCATTACAATTCTCCAGTTGAGAGATGATTGGGCAGGAGAATAGCAATGAGCATTCTGGGAAGTGGGCAGGTTTTGGATATATGTAGTCTGAAAGTATAACTAATATGACTTATTGATGTTTGGGTTGAGAAAGAGAGAAATGCAGGTTACTTTCAAAGTACCAAACTTGAGCAATCAGACTAGACTTGGTATTTTCTGAGCTGCAGACAGTAACTGTGGCAGATGTAGAGAGCAGGTAACATCAAGAGTTCAGTTTGGATGATGTTAAAGGAAGTTGCATTTCAAAAGTTCCTAGTGTGAACCTCGACTAGACAGATGAGTATATGAATCAATGTTCAAAGCAAAGGTCCAGGCTGGAGCTGTCAGTCTGAGAGCAACCAATACGTGGATGTTATTTAAAGCCTGTACACTCAATTGCATGTCTTCAGAGACTAGAGAGATGGAGCAGTGAGTTAAGAACTGAGCCCAAGGCTGTCTGGGATTAAGAGGTGGAGAAATGAGAAGGAACAAGCAAAGGAAACTGAGGAGTGGTGGGAAAGCAACAAAGAGAAAATGGCGTGACAGAAATGAGGGGAAGTTATTGTTTCAAGATGGGGATGGTTAGCTGCACCTGATGCCACAAAAGGCTTTCCTAGAAAGTGGTTAATCATGACAAGGGAATGGCACAGGCCTTTCATTGATTCCTGCAGCAAGAATAGAAGGATCAGAGAGAGGGAGGGCTAGGTTGGCCCATAGCTGCTGTGGGTCCCCCCTCTCTCCAGCCACCAGCGCCTTGGCTCGGAGTTGGGGGTGCTGGGTGGGTGAGCAGGGAGGGTGGCTTAGAAAAGCTGGTCAGTGACAGCCTGACATGAGGGCACCGGCCACAGAGCCGTGATGGTATTGGGATGGGAGCAGTCTTGTCCCTGACCTTGAGTGACAGCTGCAAGTTCAAAGAAGTAAGCACTGAAAGCCCTGGACACTCACGCTATCCAGTTTGGTACTCAATAGCCATATGTGGCCAAAGTCAAAGTTGACTTCATTAAAATTCAGCAAAGGAAGAATTTTTTTTTCAGTGACACTAGACATGATTCAAGTGCTCAGTAATCACATGGCTGGGGCCACCGTGTATAAGCACAGATAAAGAACAATTCCATCATCAGAAAAGTCTGTGTTGGCATCATTGACCTAGACTACAACAGCTTCAGAAAACAGAATTTTTTACTCGGAGTAGAAACTTCATGAAACTGTCTCATGTATGCTATTGTGACTTAGCTCTTGGAGTGAATCCTGGCTCATAATGTATGTTCAATAAATTATTAAATGAACCTGAGAGAACTGAAATGGGTGATTAAGTAAATTTTGTTACTGTTACACAGGGTGATAGTACTAAGAAATAATAAATCATGTTTATAAAAATGTTTCATTATATGAGAAATTATGCAATGACCCTGATAATGCTACTTGGCGATCCTTATAGTATATAATATTCT